GTAGTAATGCTTTATTCAGTGTAATTAAAAAAAATATAATGCACCTTAAACATTGAAGCCAATCAAATGTAATAATGATATAAAAAGACATTAATTCAATCAGTGTAAAAATATTACTGTTGCTAGACAGTCTTCTCAATGCTATTTTGGTGCTCCTACACCTTGTCAAGAAAACTAATTAGTTAATTTTGTTTTGGAATAAATTTGTATCCCAAATACAATGAGAACTAACAATTATTTAATGTTTAAGTGAAAACGTTTTAAACCAGCACATTGAAAGAAACTAAGCTGGAATGTCTTATAATGTCATCTTGGGTAAATTTTGAGCGGGCAACACTGTAAACTCACATTCTTTACGTTCCTTAAGGCTCATCTGACTTGATGCAAGTCAGACAATGGCTAGAGTCAGTTTTTTAAAAGCAGCAAAGTGTCAGTGCTAGCCAAAGACAAGTATGCTACTTCAGTATGATAAAATGATGGGTACCGGAGGTTTCTTCTTGTATATACACCTGCTGGTCTTATGCCTAGATTAACAAAGAGCTTTGTTTTGCTGAACTACAGTGCTAAGTAAAGTTATTGAAAATAAGTAAAGAAAATCTTCATTTAATGCCACATTAAATATACGAAAAGAAAAGTACCTATGACCACTTTAATTATCCTGTTTACCAATATTCATTCTGCAGGATGGTCCATGTTACTGGTTTTAGCAGTATTGTAACACAGAATTACAAGGAAGGGGGTTTTTGGGTTTTCCTCCTCTTCCACTTTGTCATGTGTACTGGTTTTGGCTGGGATAGGTTTAATTTTCTTTATAGTAGATCCTATGATGCTGTGTTTTGGACTTGTGAACAAAACTGCGTTGGTGACACATTGATGTTTTAGTTGTTGCTGAGCAGTGCTTGCACAGCATCAAGGTCTTTTTGGCTTCTCATGCCGCCCCACCTGCGAGTAGGCTGGGGGTGCACAAGAAGTTGGGAGGGGACGCTGCTGGCACAGTGACCCCAACCGACCCAAGGGATATTCCATACCATATGACGTCGTGCTCAGCAATAAAAAGCTGGGCAAAAGAGGGGGAAGGGGGATGATCAGAGTTACGCCATTTGTCTTCCCAAGACCATTACACATGATGAAGCCCAGCTTTCCTGGAAGCAGCTGAACACCAGCCTGCCTACGTGAAGTAGCAAATAAATTACTGTTTTCCTTGGCTTGTGCACACAGCTTTTGCTTTACCTTTTAAAGTGTCTTTATCTCAACCCACAAGTTTTTGAACTTTTCCCCTTCTGAGTGGCTGTGTGTGGCTTAGCCACCCTCCGGGGTTAACTCACATCATAATACTGTTTCACTGATGTTGTGTGGGTGCATCACACTGGATGCTCGGGCTTGGCTTACTGAAAGGTCTCAACTTCAACACAACCATTGAGTAGTAGATCTGATGAATACTCAGTCATCACCAAAAAAGTGAGGGCTCATTCCTTTAAACCTTTGTGATCTACTGCCAAATGCCAGGATGAATCAAGAGGTCAGTGGACACTTGGAACTCATTTGGTGGAGGTGCTCCTATCCCATGTTTATATTGCTGTTACTTCTTTTTCTATCTAGAAGTTCCACCTTTCCTATTATATATATTAGTTTCTCTAAGAGTTTGCTTTGTAACAGCTGTTTCAAGACATAGAATTCTCCCAAGGAGCAAACGTATTTATGCTGTAGAAATAGTGGTAAAAAGTACACTATAAGTTTGAACTTCATATCTAATTTTAAGGAAATAAAGTAGGGTTTTTTTTTCCCCTTGGACCTGTATATCAGTATATCAGTTTCCTAAAAAATCCTTTCAATTCATTACTTAGTGCAATATCTATGCCTATTCAATGCAAATTGAACCCCAAATATGAAATAATTTTAAATGATTCTCACGAAATCCTTTTCTTACTACCATTTAAGTTGATGACGAATGTCTGTTGGCTCTACAGATTATTTTCAGGCTTTAAAATATGAAAGTAGTAGATCACTTATTTGCTGTGTTTCCAATAAAATTCTATCTAATGATTAAAAAGTACTTTTCTCAGGAAGGAGTTTCAGTGTTTTTATAAAGCAGAAGCTGAAAGATGCTTCGTTGCTTATACAGAAGTCTGTTAATACTCCTTTCACTAAGTCTGAGCGCTGATGGGAAAGTACTTTTCTGCGTTCATATGTAAATCACAGGGATATATTCCAGCAGCAGAAGAAATATTTCTTGCAGAGAATTGAGAAGTTAGCTCATTGTGTACATTTTTCCAGAATCATACCTCTGTTTATAAATAATTCATTAGCCATGCAGAAAATGTATTTGCTTATATTTTGCAAATCAATATAGAAACATGACAAATGTATATTTACATGTGAATTACTTTTTCCACAAATTATTTCCTTCACATGATTTATCATATCATGAACTTCCTCTTCCTGGCCTGCTGATGACAAAAAGAATCAAATGTCAGTGATTTGCTAACGTTTATACAATGAGCTTTTGCTTTGATAAAAATTCAAAGTAGTATGTGAATCATCTGAGAATCCATAGAAATGCTAACCTTTGATTTGCTTAAATATAACATTGCTGGAGAACTGATGCAATTGCTGTAGATCTGCTTTTATTGTGACTTTCCTACAACTTCAAAATGAAAAGTTGTACCTACTTGAAAAAAGAAAGTTCTCTTAAAAAGTTCCAAGCAAACAGAGTCATTTTGACTTTTTTTTATGAAGTGAAGAAATAAAGTAACTGAAAGGTTCATTAAAGCTATTCATTTCTCAAAACAGTTTTTTGACTTTTATAAATCCAGAAAAAGACCTGAGTTCAACTTTTCCTTAGATCCGCGCAACTCACGTCTAGTGTATTCTCATGCTGGTATTTACCAATTTTTTCTCAATTGGAAGCCTCTAATTTTGTGTTTGCTTTCCTTGATCACTATCATATGTTTTTCAAAAGCATTCATGCTTCCATCTTCCATAACTAGCTAAAGGACCCTTTAGCATTACCCGGTCTATCACTGGCCATTTTCACTGTCTGCTTTCAGTCTCTCCTTTTTCTTTTTTGCCCTTCATTGATTTGGTCATTGTCATTTAGCATTTGCCTGAACTTTTTTCCCATCCCTGTGTTGAAAAGGTCTTACTAGTTAATCCTTATGCTTGATTTTACGTTATTTACATAACGCAATGTTTACTGTGATGGAAATAATCCCACAAACAATCTTTGTTTGGTTTTTCAGTCCTGCTTTCCCAATGCTCTCTGACAGGCAAAGTCTGAATTGCATGTAGAGACTTGCTTAAATTCTCCTCAATCCCCGCTACTTCTCTACCTTTGTTTAATCTAATGGTCCAAAGTCCAGACATTAACTTCATTTTTTCCAATGTCTTTGGTAACGGTCCTCACTTTCAGGAGGAAAGCACATAGTATTCTGCTGGGGGAATCTTCCCCACTGGTCCCCTTGCCAGTGTTTTTTGCGGCAGCAGTAGTGAAAATGCAGGGCTGTGCAGACAGTGAAACAGCCAATCTCATCTCAGGATGACTCCATCACTCCCTGGAGCATGCTCCTCCTGTTTGCTTTGCCTGTACCTTGAATTAATTTTGTGTCTACTCCTCCGCTTTATTCTATCCACCTTCTGCAATGACTTCAGACCTCGCTGTGTTTTGTTTCTTCCCAGCGAGCAGAGCAACATACCATTTATCACAAAATATCCCACTTACCTTCCAACCTTTGTCTCCTCTCCATCTATAAGCTCCTAAAACTCTTGTTATCCAACAAGTATTCTGTTTCCCCAAAATTACTTGAAAATTCCATCCTTATCCATACTTTTTTTCCTTTTCCCCGTTTTCTAACAAACTGACAGTAGTGGGTTTTTTTATTAAATTATACTAGCCATTGGCTTTTACAGCTTGCTGTATTCTCATTCTGTGAAATCTCTTTAACAATTTTGTCAGTGGATTATTGTCATGCTTCCTCCAATACTTAATCTCTGGAAAATGGATTTTACTTGAAGCTCCAAACCTTAGCTCTTAGGCATTCCATTTACCATCTCAATACTGTTCCTTTGGTCAGCTGTAATTACACTGGAAATTAACAGATGCAAAATTATTTTCTAGTCTGTGCTCGTATCCCACAGAACCTGTAATAACATACATGCATTGAAATAAATAATATTTATATAGTCAGCATCACATAATTTTCCAAAGCAATTTGATAGAACTGAAATGAAAGTATTTTCATTAATATCTTACTATATGTGAATGAAATTTAGTTATAAAATGTTATGAAACAAAATCCTACAGAAAAAAAGTCCTTATAGGTTGCAAGTTAACGATTCTGATTTTGTTCTAGTCATTCAGTGATTGATTGAGGGGTTTTATGTATAAAATATTTTAAGGAAATGCTAATAAACCTAGGGTTGTTACTTTTCTTTATTCAGAGCCTCAAACATGCACTTTGAAAGACTTTCTTTGTGCAAATGGAGACTGTGTTTCAGCAAGATTCTGGTGTGATGGAGACTATGACTGTGCAGACGGCTCAGATGAGGTAGGTTTCCGCCAGGAAGAATATTTCTTTAGAAAATTAATAGTTTTATATCGTTGGAGAAGGAATTCCCACGTATGAATATTCTAAAAAGCAGCAATTGGAATTCTGCACATGAATCCCTATATGCAAATATCTTTACTAAATCAAAACTAAACCTATTGAAATAGTTATGCTAAAAAGAGTACATGCAAATAAAATCAAGTCACGTTTAAAAACAGTCTACATCTTTTTATCCCAGCAATTATCTGGAAATATTTTGTATCCTGGTTGGGGAACCACTCTTTCTACACACAGCAGGGGTTTGGTTTGATTTGGGTTTTGGTTTTGGTTTTTTTTTTTTTGAGAAAACAGTGTAGACTGTTGTGTAGCAGAAGCGCACTGTGTAATGCTTTGCTGGTTTTCTGTTCTTTCCTGTGGCTTTTGTCCCGTCACCATTCCTGCCATTACTGAACGTCAGGTGCTTCTCACCTACTTAGAAGGGTGCAAGCCACCTTTCATGAATCAGATCTGCAAATATATTTAATTTCACAAGGCATTACTGTATTTCCTAGTGTGGAGGGGTATAGACTGTAACTTCTGTGATCAGCTGTATATTTACCAATGTTTATATACAACTCTTGATCTCATATATACCTTTTTTTATGGTACCAGAGGTATTGTGAAACAGGCTGTTCAAGAGATCAGTTCCAGTGTTCCAATGGTCAGTGCATCTCGGCGAAATGGAAATGTGATGGTCATGAGGACTGCAAACTTGGGGATGACGAGAAAAATTGTGAACCAGGTATTTTTTTAATAATGCTGAGAAATAAAATGAAGCAAGGATTAAATCAGAATAAAGCAAGGAGAAAATAAATCAACAAATTAAGATTTCTTCAGCACTAGAAGTAGGGAGGAGTGCAGAGAACTCTGAAATACTTTATCTTTTGAATGTGCATCGTTGTGTCTTCCTACTCAAGTTTTGAAAAGCCCACTTATGGACAGCTATGAAATATGAAGCTCGTTGGAGAATGAGATTTAATTTAATTATATTGAAATATAATTTGATAATGTATGCTCAGCGTATAAAATTCTGCTCTGAAAACAGCAGTAATTCTTGTCGTGTTACTAAAGTGTCTCTGCAGGTTTTCTACTTTGTGGTGTTCATTCAAAGTTCACTAGTTCTTATGCAGAGGTTTTCTCTAGTAAATTATTATTTGTTGTTATTGTTTCATTTCCTTTTTACTGTGTTGGAAACTGCAGTTGTTTATATTTGCAAGGATTTTCCTGAATGTTGTAAACTTCGTCTAGAGGGGTGCAACTGATAGACTGATAGAAGCCAATGACAAAGCTCCCCTGATTTACTATGTGACCAAAATAACCACCTATATTTTAAATAAAACTGATTAATATGTATTTATTTTAACTGTAATAGTGTATGCTTTCTAAAGCCATGGTTTCTTATAAATTTAGCTTATTGCATTATAAGCACTTACATAACTTTACTAAACCTTAGGGCCCTTCTAAAGAATGCGATTTTTTTAACATACTTGTTCTATGAATAAGTGTGTGTCTGTAGTTACCATTGTTTCCAAGTATAAGGAAAACAAAAAAAGACATTTCTCAGTGATAAAGCACAAGTATCTTTTCACTATTATCATACACTTTACTTGACAATTCAGTTTTGTCATATATTTCAGTGTGCTTTACAAATGTTTGGAACAGCTCTGGTCAGCTACAGATGCGTGTTTGCTCACTATGTTTACCAGATGAAAACATTAAATTATAAAGCAACTTATTTATAAATTGTCTTTTTCTTAATGCTAAAATATGTGTTTGTAACCAGCGTCTCCAACCTGCTCTTCAAGTGAGTACGTGTGTGCAAGTGGAGGCTGTATTTCTGCATCTTTGAAATGTAATGGAGAGTATGACTGTGCTGATGGATCTGATGAGGTAGTTGACAAATTTCTGTTGATTTTTTTTTTTTTTCCCCTACTGTCTGACATGCCATTTGTTAACAGGTTTAGGTCTGAAAAGAATTAAGAGTGCAAACGGGGTTTTATTGCATCCATTGAACGCTGTCAGATAACTTACCCCATGATTTTAGTTCCCCAGTAGCTACACGGCATTATGTTTGTTTACTCTGTGGCCACCTTTTGGAGTGGACGAATTTATTTCCCTTAAGTCAAAACCTGAGCATCGTTCTGGGGGCGTTTGCTTCAGGAGCTGCGTTGTACTGGCAGCGTGGACAAGTTTGTGACACATTTGGCTCCCTCTGTCCTCTAGCTTGATGCAATCCTAGCAGGCACCTCAGCCTCTGTGGGCCTTCATGCCATGCTCTTCCTACATGTTGCACTCTTGATACCTTTTTAAAAAGTTACCACCTTCATGAACAACTTCCAGAAAAAGGGACAAAAGTAGTTTCTATTTCTCAGAGCCATAAAGGTGCCGGTTGGCGTATGAAGGATGCCTGGGCCAAATGCTGCACAGTGCGGGTGGAGACAATCTGCTCTGCAGGTTTCGAGTCCTGATCAATGTGGGTGTGAGCCAGTTGGCACCAACTGGCCTCGTGTCCAGTGTTGTTTCTTGTAGGGCAGTTGACCTCAGAAACATAACTGTGGCCATTGCTTCCATTGCTGATACTAACCAACATAGAGATGTAATATCAGAACATATATAACGTGTGGTTACAATTTCACTTGGACTCCAGAGGCTGTTTAAATTGCA